GAATCCCTCTCATATAAAATTCCAGAAGTGCTAATTAAGCAGTCTCAAACACACACACACACACACACAGCAAAAATAAGAATTCCCTCTAATTTTGATTTAGGAGCAGGGTGCTTCTGAGGGATGACCAATATAAACATCAGGACAAGGAAATACAAGTGAGGTAGTCAAGGTCCTGGACCAGAGATCCCCACCCTCTTCTCCCAACACACATAACAAGCTAGGCCAAACGAACGAACAAATGAATAAAAATCAATCTCAGTGGCAGTGGAAGAGTAAAAGGTCTAGGGTAAAAAATATATAGCTACCCTCCTATGCCCCCAAATACATATATACCTACCTACAGGGCTTTAAGATGACATGGAGTGTTTCAATGATCTGATCAAGCATCTTTCTCTATCATTAAGCTAATGATTATTCACTAGTGTCTATTTTGGTAAGAAAACCAAAAAATACAGGTATGTCAGATTACTGCCTAGAATAAACACAAAAGCTTACCAAAGACACCTGAAAAATAATACTTGCTCCATGCTACTCATGAGAAAACAGCCAAATTGACCAACGCTTGTATCTGCCAAATGTCAAGCTCTTAAAGAATTTTCTATTTGCTTAGAATCTGAATCTAAGATTCAGAAGACAAAGGGCATCGCCAACCCTCTGTGGCCCCTCAAGGCTAGAACTGCGTGTGGCAGTTTAATTTTCTCTACCTGGGGCAACGCTCCTCGGAATAGAACACGGGACACGGGAAAGCAGAAGACATCAGTGTACCGACAGTGCGCAGCCTCCAATTTCTTCCTCAGCCTCAAACTTGGTATCGGCTACCCACTTCATAAAACCACCACTACTAGTGCTCCTCAGAAACAAAGCATGAATTTTGCATTTAAGTAAGTGCAAAATTAATCAGAGCAACAACTGAAAAACTGTTCTGAGAAATTGAGAGGCAACTTACAAGGAAAGGGGGGAAAAAAACAAAACAAAAACATTGTGAAAAGGAGGGTTGTGCTATTAGTACCTTAACATCATTTTCTGGCCAGTTATCCACAATTGATTTAATATGGCCTCTGTCTGAGATTGAAATAAATAATCCCCTGCAACAGAACAAAAACACCTTGGCATTTCACAACAGTCTTTTTTGTTTGTTTGTTTGTTTCTAAGTTTTTGCTTGTCACTGGAATATCTAGATACTTTAATAAAACATCAAGACATGGTATAATTTCCAAGCAGATTTTTAGTTAGTCACATGGGCTTATTTTCAAACAGTTTCATGGACTCCCAACGGTCTTTAACATGGCTCACAGACCAGCTGCAACCAAGAGTAAGTTACATGATGTGTCCCAAGGAGAAGTGTGTGCATGTTGAAATAAACTTACTGTAGCTCCAGTAACAAAGTGGCATAAAGAACTCACTGGTGCAGGTGAGCATGATGCGGCTGAATGAACTACAGTTAAAACACAATGAAACTCAAAATATGGAATTGGAAGGAACAGGAGGGGAGGGAAGAAAATTTATCAATTTACACGTAAGATGGCATGCTGAGAGGGCCAGGGGGTTAAAAGAAAAGTTATTTTAAACGCAGAGTGTATTGTTATCGAATTTAAAATACAAAAAAGGCAACAGGGCTTCTAGAAAAGAGGTCATTGAACCTTCCCAAGGGAGCCTTCGCTGTGGCATTCCTGCGCTGGCTCAGCGTTCCACAACCAGGGCTGAGTGTTCAAATCACTGGCCCAGAGTTTGAAAAAATACCACGTGTCCAGGGTCGTGTGTCTAGTGCTTTCGAGCTTCATTCGATTATGGCTGGAGAGGATGCCACCCAGGATTTCCAGCTTCTGCAATGTTCTGAGACATGCTTTGTGATCTAACTTACCATGTGGTTTATGCTGGAGACTAAGCCACGTGCATGGGAGGAGAATGCATGCTATGCTGCTGTTGGGTAGAGTGATGGACGAGAGCTTCAAAAAGTACGTAGAAAAGATCACTTTTCCCTCGAACTTTTTGAAGCCCATCCCTCAATCTACCTACTATCTTAGGTTTAGTTGGTTTGCAGCATTGTTCCAATTCTCTATTTCTTCTTTTTAAAAAAAATCATTTTATTGGGGGCTCTTACAGCTCTTATAACATTCCACACATCAATTGTATCAAGCATATTTGTACATATGTTGCCATCATCATTTCCAAAACATTTTCTACTTGAACCCCTGGTATAAATCTCTATTTCTTTTCCAACCTTCTTTCTGGACGATTCTACCCACTCTTGAGGGGAGTCATGGGGAGTTAAAGGAGCCCTGGTGGTGTCGTGTTACCACTGGGCTAACTGCAAGGTCAGTAGTTCGAAACCACCAGCTGCTCTGCAGGAGAGAAATGAGGCTTGTCTACTCCCATAGAGAGTTACAATTCCGGAAACCCACAGGGGGCACTTCTACCCGGTCCTCAAGGGTGTCGACTGGATGGCAGTGAGGCAGAAAGGCACCGAGGCAACAGACGAATGGGCACAAGAAAGGGGAAAATATTTTAAAATTGATTGTGGTGATGGCTGCACAACTCTTGTTCAATTTATTTAAATCACTGAATTATATGGAATGGCAGTTAAATGCCAATAGCATTGATTTTAAAAATGAAAAAAATAAAGCAAAGCTCTCAGCCCTCAAAAAAAAAGGTGTTAGGTTGCAATCTCCAGCTTTATCCTAGCGCATCGACTGCTTCCTTTTATTGTCTGCATATGCCTTACCTATTTTAGGGCTTTGACACCAACATCTACTCGATGAATCGGCCCTTTATCATTATACAATCTCCTCTCTTTTGTTTACTCTGCACATGAAACTGCCATCAGTGATAAGGAGTCTTATTTTTATCATTGTGTTATTTGTTTGGGGGCATCTGATACCTTCTGTGTCTTTCATTTCCTCCCAAATTGCCTTGCTTTGTGTAGTGAGCCATTTAGTTTCTCTTCGCCTTTCTCTCTCCACATGTTTCTTAGATTCTTTCAGAGACTCTGATTTGATTGGCCTAGAGCTTGGATCAGTCAACCAACCGCAATTCACTGATTAACATACACATACATATTCTGTGTACAGTACACAGTATAAATAATAGATGTTATCTGCCCTCATCCAAGAGCCTTGCTCCTCATGTGTGCCAGTTCTCAACCCTTGCCCACAGAATCACTCCAGGAGCTTGTACGAAACAGCCACCCTGGACCCTCTCTAGACTAACTGAAGCAGAATCTCTGCGGCCGGGGCCTGACTTCAGTATCTTCTCATGTTTGCCTTCCTTTAATGTGGTCTAAGAACTATCATTTCTGAGGAACACAAACTTGAAAGGAGCCGAACAGCTGGGGTAAGCGCTAACAACAGCTGAGGGATATTCATCGACGGCAGCTCCTAGGGCAGTGTCTCCTCCCACGTGTCTGTCTCCTGGGGACTATGCAGCCACATCGTTGAGACTCGGGCCGCCCAGCCCGTGCCCCACACGAAGACTGAGGGCAGGAAAGGGCATGGGGTTGGCCGGGGCGGGCGTGCTGTGTACGAGAGCCCTTTGACTGACTTCTACATTGACAGCCATGTTAGCTGAACGTGGGAACGATGCAGGTATCCCTGCTTGTCACAAGTTCACTTTGTGTCACTTCTCTTTACAAAAGTCTGACATTAGGACCTGTGTTCACTAATTGAAAGGATTCCGAAGAGGGTTTTTGCTTTTATGAAGAAAAGGGTGAAAAACAAAACTAGCATTCGGCACTTGTTTCCCAGAGAGCAGGGGGCACGTGGAGCAGAGAGCGGGCGTGCGTGTCAACAGTGATGTCCAGCTCCCTCCCCGCAAACTGCCCTGTCTCTTACCATCAAGCCACCAAAGCTTCAAGCTGGTCTGTGACCACTGCTGGGGAGTGTATTTTAGGGGTTATGAGCAATTTGCTTGACTTGGAAGTTTATTTTGGGGTCTGGGAACATTCAAAGGTTTTCCCCACATAAGTTAATGGCAATTGCGTCTTCACTTTACACCATTTCAGCTTAGTAAAGCTTTCAGGAATGCTTGGCTTTTGAACCATGGGGATGCCTAAGGAGCGATGAACACCGTACTTGGTTACAGGAACCGGCAAAGAAACATGGAAATTAAGTAAAACTCGCATTGATATGATGCTTGTAAGTTTATAAGGAAATGTCACATTGGTGTTCGGATCTGGTTCCACCAGTTCTAGGGCAGGTCTGTCCTCACTGGAGACAGGTCAGAAAGTACATCCGGAGGCACTGGAGTGACCCATCCCGATACTTTTCCCAACTAAGAGATCGGGAGTTACTGGAATGACTGATACTGAACCTGACGAGAGGGCATGAAAAAGAGAACAAACCCAGAAAGTAAAGCTCACAAAAACACAAAGGGGGAAAAAATCTACTCATTAGTTTGGTCAAGTCACGAAAAAAACTCAGATGATAATTCTAAAGAACCTGCCACCAAAATTAAGACTTCATTTTTGTACAAAGCATACATTTCGCTAGCAGTCAAAATCATTTAAAGGTCAGAATGAATGATGCTATTTCTACCAATTTTTAAAAAATCTATGTGGCTGGGATCCATCTAAACACCTAAAACGGAAATGCAGTTAAGTGCCATGGAGTGATTTCTTTCTGCCCCAGATGACAATCGTTTCCATGCAGGTTGTTTAAGAGCAGTCTTACTTAGGTCTTCTGAAGATGTTTCCATACTGGCAGCAGGCAAGCCCAACTGTCGGGGTGTAAACAATTGGCATGAGACTTTCAATATTGTCCTGCAGTATTCTGTAGAACAATTTCTCATTTCTTTCCTGGATTCCCATTATGTAGATGTATCTGAAATCAAGCACAGTGATCAAGGCAAAGTCAAGCTGCATACAAATGCAAAGTTTGGGCTTTTGAAAGTTAAAACCTAAATGTCTAAAACTGAGCCCTAACCCCAAAGGAAAACAGAACCCAAATGACCACTGTATTATCCCTAGGACTAGAAAATTAATGAAAATGCATTTTAATGGGTCATAGATATTACAAGGGCAATAAACCACAGGACACAGAAGCAGCTCAAAGGGTTGTTTCCTATTTGGTCAGATGACAACCTTGCCGTTAGCAGCCCAATGCATAACTGCTACACCACTAGGGTTTCCGTCAGATAGCTAAGAGGAAAGGAAACGTGTTCTGGGGAAAGATGAGTTCTACTTGAGATTTATTTAATTCAAAATGATTACTGATTCTTTAAGCCATTACTTCCCAGTTCTTTAAACTTTATTTTTTGGAAAACACAGCTGTAGTCAATCGTTATTTGTAGATTCTGTACTTGTAAATTTGTACTTGCTAAAATTTATTTGTAATTGCAAAATCTATGATTGTGATGATTTTGCCCTACATTCTACAAAAGGGGGGGTGGTCAATTCATATTAAAAGATACATATAGATATAGACACATATATAGATACAGAAAGTTCTTTATTTTTTCCCTTTGCAGTGTGAACAGGGTACAGGTTTACAGCGCTTGTCATCAGTTTTACAGTCAGCAAGGTAAACACATTTGTATCATCTCATTCACTGCAATCCCCTCAAAGCAATACTACTCATTCCAGTTCCTCCTGGTGTCTATTCCTCCTTCTCTTCCGACCCTCTCAACTCTGTTCTTGGGTAAATACTGCTCTTTTGACCATAAATGGTTGATCTGAAGGGTGGGACTAAGGGTCAGAGCCTTGGTGATCCCACCAATCTCTACCTGACCAATAATCCTGATCACTTTTATAATTCTGAGCTCTGTTCCACATTTCTCTCCCGCTCTATTCAGGACCTGCCAATGTGATCCCTTTCAGAGCAGTTGGTAGTAGTAGCCGGGCACCATCTAGTTCTTCTGGTCTCACAGTGGTGGAGACAATACCATGGATTCCTATTATTTCTAGTCGTTGCTCCTCTGAAGGCTGAATTAGAGAATACTAGCCAGACTTATTTCCTTCACAATAAACTTATTTTAGTTTATCAAACACACTTTAACCTTCACCTTGGAGTTGGTACTGCGACCTCTGCCTGGAGTCCTGCCCCCTGCTGGCCAAGGCACACTCCCAGGCCCATGCTCTCTCCGTGACTCAGGCGTCACATTCTCTGCAAACTGGTCCTTCTTGTCACTGCCTCACAGAACGCACAGCTCTTCCTTATTCAAGAGCACGCTCAGCATCTGGCCCCTGGATCCTTTGCCCTCTCCCTTTCTTTGGGGCCTTGCTTTACCATTATCCTTTCTCTTAGGCACCTTCTTTCCTGACAACTATAAACATGTTCACTTTCTTCCAGCCTGACTCCTACTCCCTTAAGCCCCAAAC